TATGTGTGTATGGAGAGAGAGAAAGAGAAAGTTTTAAATCTAAATATTAAAATCAAACTAATGTGTTGTTAGTTATATATTAAATAAACGTATTGTAATACGAATAATCATCAAAAGACAAGCGCATTTCAGAAGACAAAAATATATTAATATTTCAATGAAGTTTTCAAGATTTTAAAGTTTTTCGCCATTTTATTTTAAAATAGCGAATGATATGGCAGTGGTTGGTGTCTCCACCTGTCGATGTTTTATTGAACCAATTTTTCCAGCTTTCTTGTCTTTGCTCTACAGTAGAGATTACTATACGGTAAGTTTCTCTGTTGGTGTTTAAGAAAGTAGAGTTTGTCTATGAACTATTTTAATAATTTGATGGTGATTAAGAAATATCTTAACTGTATCAGATAGAATAGATACATTAGATTGAAGTTTCAGTTATAGTGTTTTATCACTCGAGTTATCGGAACAACGAATATAAATGTTTGGTAAAATGGATGAACCCAAATATCTTTAAAATATTTAAGCTAGCCAAGCCATAACAATCTCACAATTAGTTGAGGACGTTACACACAATGTGCCAGTAGAAGGCTTCAGTCAAACAGTCGAAACCCAAGAGTGAAATGAAAGCTTCACCTTATGCATTCATATCCTGCATTAGCGCGATTTTACAATTTGAGCGACATTTAACAACATCGTGCCATCTTAAGTTTTAGGTGGTGGGTAATACCGTATTTGCCCGATAGTAGGGCGATCTCGAATATAAGGCGACCCCATTTTCAGAAACCGTGGGGGAAAAATAGTGTCATTAGGTCCACAAAGTCAGTAGTATAACTGAAGGCCTGCAGGTGGATTAGTTGCAAGAATTAGCCATGACCTTGAGCGAACATCTGGTGCACAAGCGTAGATGGATGCTATCTGGACATCCAAGAATGGGACAGGCTAGAGTTGGTGTAAGGGGCCTGTGGTCGGCCGCGATTATAAGGCGATTATGAATTTTACAGCTTAATTATTAATCAAAAACATCGCTTTATAATCGGGCCAATACGGTAATTTTCTCAGGAAAGTTTAATGAGCCTCATCTTCCCGAGTTAGTTTGGACGCTACGTTATATGAGCTTCATCCCTTCAGTTGGTTTGGAGGCTGTAATATGAGCCTCATCTTCCAGAATTTGTTTGGAGGTTGTGTTTTAAAATGCTAAACTAGAAAGAAATTTATTTTACTTTTCTAAGTGTTCCTATAAAGCGCATAACGTTTATTTTAAAGAATATTTAATTAATGTCACTACCTGACGAAGATTTGCGTTTTTTAGTTTTGCAATTCGTCATCTTCCTATTTCACCAGTATAGATAGCAATCTTTATTAAGAACGAATAAACATTTCTTATAGTGTTTCGGGGCTCGCCATGCACACTGAATTAAACAAGAATAATTACCCTCAATGTTATTAAATGTGTTTTTTGTTTGCATATCCTGATTTCTAACTCTGTATTGATAATATTAATAGTATTAAGTTTATAGGCATACACTAAAATAATGAGCTGACTTTGTCGATGACTAAAATGATATTTTATTAGGGTGTACCTCAAGCCCACGAGGAAATACTTAGAATTGTTTATTTTCTTGTTAAACGCAAAGCTACACGAAGGGCTGATAGTGCTCTGCTCTCCGCGGGTATCAAAACCCGATTTTTAATGTCATAGGTCCACAAACGCACCGCTAAGCCATAGAGTGGCAATCCCTATGAAGTCTTAATCGTTTTAATTTTTGTTTTGCAGTGTCGGCGGTAAACCAGTTGGTTGTTTCCATACATAGGTACATACATTATGTGATTTAGTTTTTGCGTTTATCCAGATGTTGAATTATAATTCTCTCTTTCGATAACAGACATATAAACTCTATTTAACGTTTATTCACAGCAGAAGTTGTTTGCTGTTTCCACATTTGTCAGGTGATCGATGTAACATAAAGAAATGTGTTCCAAAAGTTAAATTACGTATAGAGTTTATATTCGATCTGCGCACAGTCCTGGGTCTGGAATGGCCTAATGATTGGGGCACTCGACTCGCAATCTGCTGGTCGCAGGTTCGAATTCCGTCACCTAACATGCTCGCCGTTTTAGCCGTGGGAGCGTTGTAACGTGACGGTGAATCCAACTCCCAAGGTGGAAAATAGTAGATCAAGAGTTGACGGTTGGTGGTGTTAACTAACTGCCTTCCCTCTAGTCTTATTACCTATAAATTAGGGACGGCTAGCGTAGATAGCTCCCGAGTAACTTTACTCGAGAGTCGGCATTAAAACAATCAACGGTCCCTTTCCTGACAAGTGACCGTGAGAATGTTTAACGGCTGATGTATTGGGGAACGTTGACTTCTAGTCTTAAACAAAGGCAACGAGGACTCGTCTCAGCAGTTTCGGCTGTTCTACTGATTATGGCGAGCGGAAGTTAGAGACTTCGTGCAGCGTAACTTGGCATCTGTGCGAATGATGCAATTTTTATCTGAATTGTTGACGTAAGGGTCACGGATATGACGAGTCGAGTCCTCACAGTAAAACAAATACGAGGACAGTGAGGACATTTACTGACTGTGTTTACTGCCATTTTTTCATGGAGTGTAAGGTATGTATATTGTTTCTCAGAATTAGTGATATTCTATATAATTACAATTAAATTACACTTCACCTTCTTAGTCTCATTAACACCGAAACAGTTGTTATTGATGAGATAAATAGTGTCTCGACCACTACTATGACTGTTGTATCCCGTCCGATCAGATGAGCCTTAGTATTGGACGAAAGGCCTCGTCAGCACTGGTTAAAGCAGATATAGTGTGGTTGACATATTATTACATTCTCTTTTACTTTCACTCATAAGTTCTAATAATTATAATTAAACTTAGCATATCACGCAGCAAGATGAATCCCTGTTTTTTTGTTTTTTCTTTTTGGTACAGCAGGATAATTATTGTAAGACTTTGTTCTTGTTTTAGTAAGTAATTAGCGTAGAATAAACCTTGATTCGTCATTATATTGTGGTTGACACGTTATTCCGGTAAATGACGGAGATTTTTTTAAATCATAAGATGTACGAATTTCTCATATTGTTTTATAAATTCTTTTATCAAGTTTGAAGTGTGTTAAAGGATAAACTTCAACCTAAGTTTTCTATATGTAATATTAAGAAGTGTGTTAAAGGATAAACTTCAACTTAAGTTTTATACATGTAATATTAAGAAGTGTGTTAAAGAATAAACTTCAACTTAAGTTTTATATATGTAATATTAAGAAGTGTGTTAAAGGATAAACTTCAACATAAGTTTTATATATGTAATCTTAAGAAGTGTGTTAAAGGATAAACTTCAACATAAGTTTTATATATGTAATCTTAAGAAGTGAGTTCAATATATTGCTGATTTTATTAATTTTTTTTTTCCAGTACTTACAGAAGTTAATCGTATCTCTACTTATTTTTCAGGAATGTTACAAGCAGTTATCTAAACTTCAGGAACGTTGATAAGCAGAATATTTGACTTGGAAAAAAAAAAGGATGTTGTTACAACGATAATGATTTTATGTGCTTAACCAGTGTAGCGCAAAAGCATAGCAGATCTGAAGTGTACTTCCCACACTATGGCGTCTATGCACTTTTAATAATGTACGCCCACAATCGGCTTTGTTGGACAACAAAAGACACAAAACCTCATCAGACCGTTAACGGAAACTTGAAAAATACTGAGTCTTTTCTAAAGACTAGTTCTCTTATTGTTGTTGTAAAATACAACGCAAATTAACGAATGACACGAGTGTGCTTTAAGGATGCAACTCTTCAATGAAGGTTATTTTTCATATTAATAAGAGGAAGTTATATTGCACTTAGTGCATTACAAAGACCATTAGTTCATGGACATTTGAAGGATGGTTCCTTCATCAACTGGTGCTGGTATATTGTACTATCAAATCTACCAAATTATATATATATATATATATATATATATATATA